CCTAGTTGTGTTCATTAAAAATTGGTAATTATAGGCACCAGTTACAATCCAAAGAAAATTGCAGTATATAGTCTTCAACTTATGACCACAATTGAGCCCAATGTTTCTATAATAAGTGAGACATTTGTTAAGTGAGTTTTGCCCCATTTTATGACCGTTCTTGGCACATTTGTTAAGTAAATCACTGCAGTTGTTAAGTTAGTAACATAGTTGTTAAGTGAATCTGGCTTCCCCATTGACTATCTTGCATAAAATGTTAATAAAAATGAACCAAACAAATGTGAAATACAGACCAAGTGAACATGTTTTGCTCTGATGCATCTTTTCCCATCTTTGAAACAGCAATATGAATCACCTTCTGGGATGAGATCCCAATAGTATGATAGTACAGTTCCCAGCAATATTATAATTCTGACAATTATAATTCAGCCCAATTGAGAGAGCAATGAACTCCCTAACATGATTTAGAGCAGGGGTCTCCAACCTTGGCAACTTTAAGACTTGTGGACTTCAACTCCCAGAATTCCTCAGCCAGCTGGCTGAGGAATTCTGGAAGTTGAAGTCCACAAGTCTTAAAAGTTGCCAAGATTGGAGACCCCAGATTTAGAGCATGCTGCTTATGATTGGGCTATCATATCATGAAGTGTGATGGATCAGGGAGAGGGACATTCTTCTGTTGGAATATGGGTAACTGAAGTTGAAGAGATCTAGCATAGTCTTAGAACTAGGCTGAAATGGGAAGTGAAGAAGATCCCTTTTGGTTGGGTGGCTATTGTGAGAGTGCTAGATTCATAATCCTGAAACTGGCAGGCTGAGTTCCTCCAGAAATTTCCTAACTCAAAACAATAAATTTAATAGCAAGAACATTTCCAGAAACAATATATACGTATTGCCCTCTGTGAATCACTGGAAATTCTGATGATGTAAACTACTGGAGTATTCTCATAAATATATTTCTGCAGAGGAAAATCCTTATTAGTTTCCAAAGGCCATAGTTTTACCTTTCTGGATGGGAATTGCTAATTAGGCTAGAAATGCTGCAAATATTTGTCTGGAAATATAACCTCCACAAGTGTCTGTTCAAAAACAAGCCTCATTGAATTCAATTCAACTTATTCCCAGAAGCGTAAATAAAAATTATAGCACAAACGTGTTAAGAAGGGAATAAATGGCAACTTTGAGAAAGCAGGACAAACACATTCCAAAAATGGCTTGGGAAAACAAAACATTAGCATTGCAATGACAGCTGAGGCAGATTTATAATACTAATTTTGTTTTGATTTAATGTTTAATTGATTTACATTATTTCATAACTCAAGTGATTAGAACAGATGAGGACTACTAGGCATTTAAATAAGCTATTAACAAATATTAACAATAATAATTAGTAGGTGCCTTGGGTGAAATTCCAAAACATCTGGAGCATTGCTTGAATACCATCAGCATTGACAATATTACCATCAATCAATTGTGAAAGGCAGCTTTACTTGGAGTAGTTTACACTCTACGAGGATATCTTTAACATCGTCGGATAACATCACCTGCCTAACCCAGGTCCTTGGAATGGACTTGATAGGTGGATAAAAATGCCAGATCCAGTCTAAACATCTGGCTGATTGTGTAACCAACCATAATACTACTTTCACAATAGAACAAATGTATACCTCATTTCAGAAAACAATGTAAAGACATTTTGTTCCAGAAAGAAATTTATTTTGTAAATACTAAATTATAATTTAGCAGGATATTGACAAAGATGTGGAATTTGGTAAAATCTGTTACTTGTGCATCTCTTCTGCAAATCAAAAAGACAAATGCTGCTTCAGAATTTTTACAGTACTTTCAAAAGGGAGTTTTGGTAAACATGCAGTCTGAGGAAACCATAATTTCAAGATTGAAAACAACTTAAAACACATTGTAACTGTTAGTAGGTGAAAGAAAAACCTCCCCCTCTACTTCCCCATTCCTAAAACTTGTAAAGTTGCTCTCCAAATAGAACAATATGGGTCAACTGAGGCTCCAGGACCACATCCTGTCTTAAAGTCCACTTTCTGTGACCCTCAAAGCTCCCTCCACCTAAACTTGCAAGTTGGCTCAATTAAAGGCATTTGTTTCAAAGGGAAGATGTACAAAAATGTATTAACCCTAAAAGAGGATCCAAATGGCTAAAAAAAAAAGTGGGGGAACAATCTAAAATAACCCTGGTCTTGCCTATGTGTGTGTGATATGGTCCCATCTAGTTTGCATAACTGCCTTACCTGCCAAAGCTCCTAGTTTGGGTAATGAAACATTTGCAAAACAAAAAACAAAACTCCAAGTTCAGAGAACACCAAGGACCCCTCGTTTTCATCCCAGTTGTTATGGGTAGTGTGTGGTATCTAAAGGTTGTCCATCCCTGCAATAGAGCATTATTACTAGTCCCCACCCTACCCCGGAACAATGGAGTCAAAAGGTTGTTATGAGGAATGCAAAAATGAATTCAACTTCTTTCAGCCACACCTATCCTACTACATTAGAGCTACAATTTAGTCCCGTAACCAGATGGAACAAATGAAGTCTATTCTTCCATTTATTTTTCCATTTATTTTCTTTAATGAATAAACAGGAGGAGGAAAGCCTCTGAGAACTAAACCTTTCTGACAGGGGTCCTTAATAAAATCCAGCCCCAAGCAAACAGCTTAAAACTAGACTGAAGTACTTCAGCAATAGCATTTAGATTTATATACTGCTTCACAGTGCTTTACAACCCTCGCTAAGCATTTTACAGAGTCAGCATATTTTCCCCAACAATTTGGGTCCTCATTTTACCAACTTCAGAAGGATGGAAGGCTGAGTCAACCTTGAGCCTCGTGAGATTCAAACTGCCAAATTGCAGGCAGCCAGCAGTCAGCAGAAGTAGCCTGCAGTACTGCATTCTAACCACTTCACCACCGCAGCACAAAATGGTCAAATTTCTGAAGCACAATTTATGGCTTCTTTGGGAGACTGTTTAAAGATGGAAGTGGAAGCCATTTGTCTCCCAGAAGCACTTTGAATTGTGCTTGTCTGGGGCTCCCCAGACAAGCACAATCCAAAGCATACTGAAAATGTCTCCTCAAATGGGGATGAAACATTTGCACCCAAATTGCCAAGCTCGGAGCTAAAACCAATACATACATACATACATACATACATACATACATACATACATACAAACATACATACATACATACATAATTAGAGAATTGGAGGATCATAACATATCATAGGCAAAACTCCAAAAGTAAAAGACTCTTATATTTTATAATAGTGGTGTAGGAGGGGGGCATTGCAACTGAGCTTTCATGATCAGAGCTAATTCCTTCCCACCACAATCAGGTCAGCTTGAGCAATGAGGGGGCAGGAAGAACCTCTGCTTGCTAGTGAAAAGTCCCCAGATTTGGATGAAAAGACTTGCAAACGCCCCTCTCTTTAAAATATAAGCATTTTAAAAATGAACGAGTTGTATTTGGACAATACTTGTTACTGGCTTTCTTATTGCACAGAAGTATTAGTGGTCTCGGAAACCCACTACAAATTTGTTCAATAAATAAATCATTGGGGGGGGCAAAAGAAGAGTTTGTGTAGGTCCAGACAGGCATCTCCTTGTCATCACTATTGTTTTCCTCCTGATTCTTTCCATTCAAAGGATCTGGTACTAAAGAGAAAATTACTATTTTGTCTCAGAGACCACCTCCAAAGAACAAAACTAGGAATTACAGACACCACCTGTCTTGCCCTGTCTTGTTTTTGGTTTAGTTCTTGTTTTTCGTGAGATAATATTCGTGGCACTACATGATTTGCATTGGACTTTTCTAGCTTTAACATAATTTGACCTGCTAGAGCCGTGATGGCGAACCTATGGCACACATGCCACAGGTGGCACATGTAGCCATATTGGCGGGCACGCGAGGTCCGCTCCAGTATGCATGTGCACACCGGTCAGCTGATTTTCAGGCCTTCTGGGCCCACCAGAAGCAGGGAAACAGGCTGTTTCCTGCCTCCGGAGGGCCTCGGGGGGTGGTGGGGAAGGCCCGTTTTTTGCTGTCCCCAGGCTCCAGAGCCTTTCTAGGAGTCTGGGGAGGTATAAAAGATAAAGAAGGGTAGTAGTGTGGTTCAGTTACACAATTATAATTACAGTAGAGAAATCGTAAATCAAATTCAGCCCAAATCATGCCCCAAATGACTAACTATGCCCATGGAAAAGTTACTCTCTCTTAACAAGATGTATTTCACCTTTTGTTAAATAGGGAGAAGCAAGGAGAATGACATGCTTCTCCAAGTTCATCTCTATAAACATATAACATAACTCCTCTTGGTAGCACTTTGAGACAACTATTGATAAGCTACAATAAGGAGTCACAGAAGAATGGAGGCAGGGATTATAAACCTATTAGGACAAAAGTTCATCTGGAGAAACCTTTTTAGAAATGACCTGTCATTTCAGGGACATATAGAAGAAGACCTTTATTTGTCTCCATTGCTACCATCCTACAGAATATATTTCTTCAGAAATGGAAGCTGGTCCCAGCACTCTCTACCTTTGCCCAGCCAAGAGTACTTAGCCATGTTGGCTAAATAGGATGGGACCAGTTAAACTTAGGTGGAGATTACCAGGAAATCTCAGAGCTGTGAAATAGACTGGAAAATAAAAAAAACCAACAGCAAATTGTTTCTTTATTGTGGCCAACAACCCTATATGGATATTTTATGATGATACTAGGAATTAAGGCCAAGTTGGAGATTTTGCCATTACTTTTACTCCCCATCCAGCTTCTCTTTTCTAGGGTTTTAAAGATTTTATTTTTGCATTTCTACCACATTGTTTTTTGCATTTTGCATTTCTACTACATTGTTTTTCTCTTGTATATGTGTATTGTCTTAAAATCTAAGCTAGCTTCAGGGTTTTCATGTCTGTCTTACAAAGCACATTAAGTAGAGGAAACTACTACAAACAAAAATAGAAATTAGGATATACATACAGCTTTCAAGATTGTCACTGCATCTTCCTGGAGCCATGTTGGGTAGGCAATTTCATCATTGAGAATAGCTTCAAAGAGGTCATCCTCATTTTCAGCTTCAAATGGAGCATGGCCACAAAGCATCTCATAGAGGAGCACCCCCATCGCCCACCAGTCAACATCAGGACCATAAAGCATCTCCTGCAAAATCTGCAATTAAAGAAAAAGGTAGAAATCATTAATGCTATTCTGAGTCTTTACTATTCTTCACCTGATAACTGTTTTGTTACCTTATGACCTGTATGTGTCAATACAATAGATAAACATTTCATATTGACCCAGAGACAATTTTATCCCAAGGTTACAAAATGTATTTTTTTTTTACTGTTGCTTAGCCTTCATTTGATAAATGAAGCATGAAGCAATGAAATATTGTACAAAGGTGTCATCACAACTCTAATTTTCACACGTAGAATTTTTATATCATTTAATTTTCAGGGAAGTCAATTCATGTGACATCAGATATAAGAAAATCAAGAAGTATATGAATGTGTGGGCCAAATGAGAAAGAGACACATTATAAGGATCAGAAAACCAATTCCAAAATCTGAAATCATACTAACCCAGTGTATGATTTGAAATATCCAGACATAAAAGGGTATTGTATAAGATCAATGTGCTAATATACACATATATATTATATCTAGGGGATTATTACTGTATTTGTCTGTTCCCATACCCAAAGAGATTTACTTCCACTTATAAATGTGAAAAACAATTCCTTTATGATACATCATCATAAATTGGCCTTGTATGGGCTCTCTACTCAGAAGTACATGAGTACTCCCATGCAGGGGTGAAAGCTTTTGCAATATCCTTCCCCTGGAGTGGGGTGGGAATGGAGATTTTGCAGTATCCTTCCCGTGCCACACCCACCAAGCCACAACATGTCCACCAAGCCATGCCCACAGAACCGGAGTAAAAAAAAATTGGATTTCACCACTGCTCCCATGGGTACATCATCTCTATTACATACATATAAGAAGACATAAGCATGGGCATATAGGTCCATGAAAACCTATATCCAAATGTTTTACAGAGCAATTTTAAGCAACAAGTTGATGATAACTGTACAAATTATGCAGCTATTTGCTTATGCTGAATATTTTATTTTACCAACCAGGCCAAGCAGATTTTACAACAAAATTTGTTTGTTTGGATCCCATTAATATAATGTAAATTTGGGTTTTAAAACCCATTTAAAGAAAATGGAAAACTTTCCTGTACCTCTGGAGCAATATAGTCAGGGGTTCCACAGAATGTTGCAGTGGTGATCCCATCATGGATTCCTTCTTTGCACATTCCAAAATCTGCCAGCTTGCAGTGGCCCTCATGATCCAGCAGCACATTGTCCAGTTTCAGATCTCTGTAAGAGATATTGATATTATCACATCAGTTTATCAGTGGTAAACTGAGGTAGAAACAAACTAAAACGAATCAACAAATCCAAGATCAACACCATCATAGATGATAATCACAGCTGCTTAGCTCATGGAAAGTTTTCAAACATGATGCTACTGTGTATATATTTTCCCATGTGCTGAAGTTACATGAATGTTATGGAAGTTCAACAGAAAATGGAAATTACTGCCAATATAGAAAAACCAACAATCTCAGCATTCCAAGTGAAAGATCAAACTTGAATCCATTATAGCATAAAGTCGTATAGTTAGAGGGACTTTGTAAACTATCAAAACCATCCAAATCTGAATAACCCATAATCAGAAAGACTAGAAACCCTAATCTACTATCCTAGCATTCACTAGAATTCTTGCTGACTTCTCTCTTCCCTATATTATTCAAACAAAGCTTTTCTCCTGAGCTTCATACAACGTTAGAAAATTAAAAGTAAATAAAGATAACATAATGACAGCAATCGGACATCCTTGCTGATTTCTCTAAATCCTGCAATAGTATTTTGTAAAGAAACCTTTATCTTAAGCATTTAAAGTAATAATTTTCAAAAAGGAAATGTATCAGCATACACAGAAATATATAAGTAATACTGAGTTGAAATCAAAAGATAAGCAGGAAAGTTCAAAATAAAAAGTGATGTTAAGATAAGAGATTGTAAGATGGAAACAACATTACAGAAAGGATGTCAGAATAATAAAGGGAAAAGGTTAATATTAAAGTAATAAGAAAAAAGAAATGATCATTTTTGGAGAGAAATAATGAAAAACCAGTTGACCTCAAGGGAAACATAAGACAAGATAGGTAAAGGTAAAGGTTCCCCTCGCACATATGTGCTAGTCATTCCCGACTCTAGTGGGTGGTGCTCATCTCCGTTTCAAAGCTGAAGAGCCAAAGCTGTCCGAAGACATCTCCGTGGTCATGTGGCCGGTCATGTGGAATGCTATTACCTTCCCACCAAAGGTGGTCCCTGTTTTTCTACTTGGATTTTTACGTGCTTTCGAACTGCTAGGTTGGCAGAAGCTGGGACAAGTAACAGGAGCTCACCCCATTACACGGCACTAGGGATTGGAACTGCTGAATTGCCAACCTTTTCATCGACAAGCTCAGCATCTTAGCCACTGAGCCACCATGTCCCTTCCCTAATTTAAGATAGTGAAGTATAAATTTATGCCAGAAGGCTTATAGACATGTTAAAATGACCCTTCATGTTTTCCCCCTTTTTATATAAATGTGAAGTTCTAAATAATTTTTCTTGAGTTATATATCAGAGGTATATCATTTTATAAAAATTCTCTTTCAGGTTGTAACATAATGTAAATCTCAATCATTTTAACCACATATTTTCCCACTGTCCATTAGTATATTGTGTCCAAAGTTTTCCTGGACAAAGTTGTGCCTATTTTATCATATAGTCTTTCATTTGATCTTCTTCTGTTTATGGTTAAAGTTTATAGAGTTTACAATTACATGTTCATTATTTGTCCATAGTTCAATTTCAAATTCTGTTTTCTGCTGCTTAATTTCAAGTGTCCCATTATGTACCTTAAATCTTTCTCTTAACTGTACATATGAAAACCGTTGTAAATTAAATCCCTCTACAATAGCTTGTTATTTTGATTTTGTTTTTTTCATGTTTCTCTCTAAAGGCATTTTCAGGCACAATCTAGGTTTATATCTGTTCCATATTCTCAATAAGGCACTTCTAAATCTACATTGACCTTAACTTTATCATATCATAGAAAACCATGTCATCCAAACCTCAGATCATATTCTAATTCTAAAATTCTTTTATTTCTCAGCAAACCCAGTTTCAAATTAGGTAATCCTAATATTCTCACTCCTTTGCATATGGAAATATTTGATAGTTAACTCTTTGTTTTAGTGCTTGTTATACAAACTTAGATATATCTTTCTGCCATTGTTTAAATCAGAGGTCCTCAGCCCATGGTCCATGGCCCGGTACCGAAGCTGCATTTGCACAATTTTCGGTCCATGGAGCTGGAAACTTTGGGAACTGCTGGTTAAATAGTACATCAGTTGTCAGAATAGTTATTGTTTGAAACAAAACAATAACTTGGCAAAACATTTTTATCAAATAAATTCTCTCTAACATTGATAATGTAATTTCTCCCATGTTAACATGTCCTTTTTAATTTCTTTCCATGTCTTAACATAATTATTCTTGTATACTATACAATTCATATTAGGCATTGTAATATGGAAATATTCAACTTTTTTTCAATATTAAAACCATTTTTTTATTTGCTTTTTGATGTTCATATTCTTTGTTAACATCTTCCTTTTGTTTTTTTTAATTTTAAATCCAGCTAATACCCCAAAGTGATAGGTTTTTCCACCAATATTTCTATTCCTTCCAGAGGATCTTCCAAAATTATCACCAAGTCATCAGCAAATCCTCATGATTTTAAAGTTTCTCTTTTAATCTTTGGTCCAGCGATTATGTCATATCTTGTCATATATATCTGTCCCATACTTCCTTTTTTAAATAATAATGTTATTAAAATTTACATATATAAAAATATAAAACTAATATAAAATATGGAAAATATAGAATGTTTTACAGAAACATTTTCCAAATGTTTCAATGTCATGTGTTTCTATATATTTCTATAGGAACTAGAAACCAGGTTTACCATTTAAGAATTATTTTATGGCCTGTGAATACAGCAGACACATTGGAACTCATCTGTAATCTGGAAGACATTTGATTTCTATAAACCTTCAGTAGTGTGGTTTTTACTTATTCTTGGCTAAAATAGGAATTTATCTGAACTAATGTTTACTTTAGACTCATGTAACATCATGATGGACTGCTAAATCACAAAGAAGCCATATATTTCCATTGGCTCAGCAATTCCATGATGGGCAAAACAATTAAAGAGATCAAGTCTAAGAGCTCTTAGTTCTAAGGACTATTAACCAAAAGGACACAAGAAATGTTGAATTAGACTAGGCCAGTGATGGTGAACCTTTTCACCACTGAGTGCCAAAAAAGGAGCATTTCATGCGCTCGTCAGGGCCATGACCAGGAAGAGGAGCTTCCCAGGGGGCATGCGCGCACTGGATAAGGTACACACCAGTACACACCGGTTACTGCCGCATATGCACATGTGCCGATAAGATGGCATGCGCAAGCTGGAAAACGGAAGACTAGCTCTTTTGGTTTCCGGCACTGCCGCATGCGCAAAGGCCAGCTGATCATCACGTGCACATGTGCTCCAGAAACCCAGAAGAGGAACAGGTGATGCCACACATGCGAGGTGACATGGCTCACATGTCGCTTCGGGCACACATGCCATAGGTTCACCATCATGGGACTAGGCTCATCTTGTCCAATACAAAGTACACTGTCTCTGTATATCTAAACCCGGTCTAATTAAGCCCACTGAGAGCCATTTTAGTAGAGTGGTTATAGCACTGGGCTAGAAACTGGGAGAGGGTGAGTTCCAATCCTACTTTAAAGTCAGCTGAGTGACCTTGGGCCAGTCACTCTCTCTCAGCTCTAGAAAGAAGGAGGTAATAGTAAGCCACTTCTGAAAAACCTTACCAAGAAAAACTAGTCCAGGCAATCACAAAAAGTCAAAAACTAACGCAAAGAGACAAAAAAAAAGCCCAATCAAACAACTAAATGTGAACATAATAGAGGTGTAACAGAATATGCCTATTGAGCCGGAAATGGATAGAAACAATTATTTGCCTCTTGTAATTATTGGAATCCCAAGAATAGCCAAGGAAATTGATGGAAGTTCTAGGTTTCAAGCTCAGTTCTCAAGTTAAATCTTGGAAATCCAATTCAATCCCTGCCCAACTGAACTCTGGAACACTGCTGTCAATCAAGACTTAAGAAGTAGCAGCATGTAAATTGCAAGAAATCAGTTCAGGCCTATATTATTCTTTTCTTTCCTTCATCATACAATGGCAGGGGTGGGGGGGATATGAGAGAAAAAAAGTGTGTCTGTAAGCAAAAGTAGCAGCAGAGATAAAAGGTATCCTGATCCATTTGGGACACTGGATTTGCTACACTCATGGTGCCATTCCCAAGAGAATCTGACCACTGATCCCCAATATAGATAGTGCTGAACTAAACAGGCCAGTGGTCTGTAATGGCTTAAATGGGACAATGTCATAGACATAATTTCCCACTCTTTATAAGTAACAACTAATCTAGAGCCTATAACTTCAGAGACAATATAGCTCTGAAAACCAGTTGCTGAAGGAGGCTACTCCCTGCTTAAGGACATCCATTGTTTGGCCATGTTTGGAAATACGAGATATTTGAACTCCAATATAGATTTTGCTATTATTCTTTTAATCTGAATTGATTGGATTCTTTTTGGATTCAGACAATGAGCATCCTGTCCAGAATACTACGGTAGGATATGAAAGAGAAATCAGTAGTGGTCATCCCTTTTGCACAGCTCTGTTTTTCTCAGGTGTCTGGAGTCTGTGTCCTCCATAGCATTGCTAGGACCAGAGGAAAGACTGGCAATCTATCTTCTTTGAAAACCACAGGCACTGAGTGTTTAAATCCACGGAGCTGAATTAAATAGGGTTGGCTTTTCTGGTTCAGTGTCCTATTCTCATCAAGGGGAAGAGGCTTGTTGGTAGTAATTTGAGAGCTAATTTTGGATACACCAAATATTCTAAATTCCAGGTCACTGGAAAAAATTGCTAAGTGGTCTCAAGGAATCTAGTCAGCCTGAGTCATCTGGGGGAAAAAACTGAAAAAAGTAATACTATTCAGTTTTACTGGACAAAATTCGGGTAATGTAATTTTCCAAGGCAGTTCCATTTATCGGAACAGTAAAGAAAAACGTGTTTGCTGCAAATATTCTGACATAGTGAACAAATTAGGAGTGAATATTCACTTTGTAAATAGTGAATATCCAGGAAGCAAAATTACTTCTATGACAAAGTACAAAGTGGAAC